CACATTTAAGCACAACATGAATCATCACCCATGAACCTCTAATCCTAAACTGTTAACAAAAGATTCAAATTCTAAAGATGTTGTGATGGCATTCTCAAATCTGCTGCAACAAGATCAAACATTATAATTTTATCACATTTGTTTCTAATACAAAATAACTTATGATGACAATCAAACAATCAACTCATGACATGATTTTTCTTATGATTCACATCAAAATACCATAAAATAGCATGAGACAAGCATAAACACATCCAAGACAGTTGGCACATACAAGACATAATCAAAGCAGTAGGCACATACGAGGCATATTCAAAAACAGGTTTGCATATACAAGACAATGGAGAAATGCATAACAGTTTTGAGTCAAACAATAACTTAATCAAAACAGAAACTGCCCTGGACTAGATTCAAACAGAAAGAGCCATGCATATCAAAAGTAGTGTTAAGTATAAACCAACAAGATCCTCAAATGCTAAATGATCCAACACTAATTCTAAGCATCATGCCTAAACTAACCAGCTCCACCAATAATGTTCCAAAGTAGAACAGTTCAGCAATTAAATCCAAACATCAACATCCCATATCAGTTGCAAGCCAAACTTCCCTAATGTTCATACATAAAATGGAACAAGGTTTAAGAAAGTTTCAAAGGTTAATACACAACAACACATCCTTGTATGAGTATTAAAAAGTGTTAAGCATAATGATGAGCAAAACCAAACCAAATCTGGAAAATTCACATATGAATTATATTTGCATTTAAACACATCTCAAGCAAAGCATATCAATCATGTTCATGACAGTTCAAGAATGAGGTAGTGACTACTAACCTCTTGTAGACCTCCAAGCAAACTATGTAGTAGGGAAAACCTTGAAGAGTTCCAGCTGATATCTAACCAATGCCTTGATGAACAAACAACTTTCTTGCACTTGAAGCAAATGAAGAAACCTTGTGAAAAATCTAAGAGCTGGTGATGCAGAGGTAATTTTAGGTTTGGACAGTTGGTACACCTTAAACCAAAGGTGTTTGGAGGGTTGAGGCGATTGAAACAGGCCTAAGCAAAGTATTATATGGTTTTGTATGAGGAGTCAAACTTTGTTAGGTTGAAAGTTGACTTTTAAAAATATGGAGTTTTGGACTGGTTTAAGAGCTTGAACACCTCCCACACATCATTTATGGATTGTGCAGATGATTTTTAATGAGTTTTAGTGTACGGAAATGGTTCTGGTATGCAAACTATTCAAGACAGATTTTGAGTAGTTTTGGTGAGTTTGCTTGATTTTCAAGAAAAGTGGAAGGCAAGGCTTTTGGTGAGTTTTCTCTGGTTTTGCGAGATTGCTCTTGTGTCTATGTCATCTAGAGAAGGTCTCTATTTATAGAGGAAGTGAGAGTCTTGACAGATTTTGAAAGTGTGGATGGCTATGTCTTTTGGAGGGAGGAAATGCAAATCTTCATGAATCTTTGATGCAGTAAGTATTGAGTGTTTTAATGCATTGTGATGTTTCATTTTACTTTGATCCCCAACATAGTTTTAACTTGTCCAATATTTTCCATCATGAATGTGGAAGTTAGAAATACCTTTGTTTCTAAAACTCCATTCATTTTGTCTCTAATGATCAACATGTCACCAACATAGAGAAAAAGGAATATCACAATGTTCTCACACGCCTTTATGATAAACACTTGTCACAAGAATTAGGAACAAATCCATTTGAAAGTACGATAGAGTCAAAATTTTTATTTAATTATTTCAGTGCTTGTTTTAATCCATACAATAATTTGACAATCTTGCACACCTTTTGTTCGTTACCAGGAAACACATAACCTTCCAATTGCTCTGTGTAAATTTCCTCATTGAAATTTCCATTTTGATATTCTTTTTGACATCTATTTGATGAAATATATGGTCATGAAAAGAAAATAATGAAAATAATACTCTAATTGTAGGCATCCTTACTACTGGTGCATATGTGTGAAAATAATTAACACCTCCCTTTTGTGCAAAACCCTGGCTACTAATCTAAACCTTATAGGTGTTTAGTGTACCATCACTATGATACTTACTTATAAATGACCACTTGCATTTAATAAGTCTTGATCTTTTAGGTAGATCAACAAGATCCAAAATGTGGTTTGACATTGTTGAATTCATTTCATCTTGAATACCATCCTTAAAAAAGGGGTTTCCATAAGCCTTAGGATCATCTTTCAATTGAAGAATAATAGGAATCTTACGAACAAAATTTTCACTATTTCCTTCTACTAGAAAAAGGAAATACGTCAAATATCGATTTCGTTCGGTCCTGGATCCTTAGCCTCTCAGACTCTCTTGCTTATATTAAGCCCAGGTTATGTTTCAACAATCTGTGAAGAACTTTTGGGATGTGTTTCAATAATTTGTGAGGAACTTTGGGTTGTGTTTCAACAATTCACCGTGTTTCAATAAATCGTGGAGAACCTTCCTCAAGAGGTCTTCATTTGTGGGAATCTCAATTTCTTATCTTTCGTGATTAGGTTCTCAAAGAATTCCACATCTCGGGATCAAATAATTATATTAGACTCCAAATTCAAAAGGCTATACACTTTACTGTCAGGTGCATAGCTTATAAAGCACATGTGATCCCTCGAGGATCCAACTTAGTCATTTTAGGATTCATGTTCTTATAATACGCTACACACCCCACACTCTAAAATAACCGATATTTGGCGCACCACATTTTCATACCTCATATGGAGAAATGTCAATTTTATTCAAAGGAACTTTATTATTATATGTCAAGAAGATAACAAAAGCTCCACCCTATAAATTAAATGATAGTATAAAATGCATTAACATGAGATTTATCATTTATTGGTATGCCATATTCTTTCGTTCGACTAGCTTGTTTTGTTGTGGTGTACGAGGTGCATAACATTCTTGTATAATACTCTCTATGTCCCACAATGAGTGACCTAGTTGAACATTTCAAACATTAAAAAAATAATAATAATTAAAGAGAGAGAATAGATTTTTTACTAAAATATCCTTTATCATGTATTGAGAGTGATGAAAGTGGTAATAACTAAAGGGTATAATTAGAAAAAAAAAATTAATCTACATTGTAAATTGAAATAGATCATTCATTTTAGGATATCTTATTATTCAAAATGAGTCACTCATTGTGGGATGGAGGAAGTACCATATTCTTCACAATATGCATCAAATTTAGTAGAAAAATGTCTTGCTTAGTAATCTTTACTTGTGAGAAATAAGAAGGTCATCCAAACAATGGTTTATAGAGTCAAAGCTCATATGTCTCATATTCTTCATTTGATCATCAGATAGTGTTAGTAAAATTCCGCAAGTAAGATAAAATACTAAAAAATGACCTTTTTTTTCTTTCAAGATTATCATAAAGATATAGACCCATGTTAAGATGAAATAATTTAACACTAATAGGTCTGTAGTATAGTTATTTTAGTAGTTGGAGCAAAGAAACACTTGTCACCAATACTACACTTCTTCAGAATCCTTTTGTAAATCAAAACCAGAGAAAATTCTCATATACAACAGGTCTTAGAAGTGGTTTAAATGTTACTTCATTAAATATGCTTGATTAGTATTAAAACCCTGCAAAAAATTTAACAATGATATATAGGCTAAGCCTGTTTATCAACTTTGCTACGACCATGATAACATTTTGCGATAGGGAATATATTGAAAAAAAAAAAGATTTTTCCATATTATCATGAAGAAACAATAAATTAGGAGTCGTATCATATCTGTTAGTACTTAATAATAGTTACAGCAAAAAGGCCACTAATAAACTATGAATTCAACGTAACTCAAGTATCTGGTTACATTGCTTCAGAGTCCTCGTTTCCGTGTTCACTACGATAACAATCATAAAAAAATAGTTTAATCTAAACCCAATTTCTCATAAAAATATTCCCATACTTTGCACTTACCTTGTTATCCTCAACACGATATATGAAAGAGAAATGATCGTCCTTCCAAAAGGCAAGAACCATATAAATAAAACACTTATAACAAAGAAGTACGTTATACACGAAAAGCAATGCAGGATTGGTGCCAATGTAGGATTTCAGACATAGTAGATCTTTAAGGAAGTTAGGAGGAAGATTATCTTGTCTTGCGAGCGAGTAAAGTTTGTCCCATCAAAACTGTCAAATTTCAAAAGGTTTTTATTCATCACTTTTATGCTTGAAACGGAAGTCTCAGTTGTCATTATTTGAGATACTATTAGACCGGTAGAAATTGTTTCTAAGCTAAATTAATCAATGCTAGAATCGTGCATATGAATATTTTTCTAATAGTATTTTAAGTACTCTCTAAATGGTCTTAGACTTTGTTTGGGAATTTGGAGGGGAAGAAAATGGAGGACTTCGAAAAATAATTTTTTTAAATATAATTATTTTTTTACATTTTAATTTTTTTTGTTTAGAATAATAAAATAGTACTTATCATTAATATATTTTTAATTTTTGAAATACTATAACAACAAAAGTTATATTCGAACCATTTTTCTAAAAATTTCCAAAGCCTTTCAAAATCATCCAATATAAATTTTGAGTTCTTCAAATTAGAGAATTTTTATTGTTATATATTAATAAAAATAAATCCTCCAATTTTTGTTGTTATTTTATAATGTTGCGATTCTCAATAATTAAGTATTACAACTCTTTTCACAATTATTTAATTTTTTATTAAATATTATAAGTATTTGAATTCACACTCTTTCACAACATATTGGAATTTTTTCTATTAATTATTGCAACTCTTCCTACACATACAACTACACATACAAGATGTCATACTATCATAGGAATATAATAATAATAGTAACCGAAGGGTGTATTTAATTAATCTCTTCGTTAATTAATAATTACATCAACCTATTATTGTATTTGTCTCTATTTATAGCTCGTGAGAAAAGAAGCGTTACTACTAGCTAAGCTGTAAGATATCTAGTGAGAAGCAAGAGTGAGAAAAAAAATGGTATTTTCAGGTAAGCATGGTTGGGAAAGCACCAAAGGTTTCACCCTCCAAGTCCTAACAGGAAGGTGGTTTATGGTGTTTTCATCATTTATGATCATGTCTGTGTCTGGAGCAAGCTACATGTTTGGTCTTTACTCAAGAGAAATAAAGTCAGTTTTGGGATATGACCAATCCACTCTAACTCTTTTAAGCTTCTTCAAGGACTTAGGCTCTAACATAGGCATTCTTTCAGGCCTTCTAAATGAAGTCACACCCCCTTGGGTTGTCTTATCAATTGGTGGTGTTCTCAACTTTTTTGGCTATTTCATGATATGGCTTGCAGTCACAAGAAAAATCCCCAAACCGGCAATATGGAACATGTGCTTATACATATTCATTGGAGCCAATTCTCATTGTTCAACCAACACCGGAGCTTTAGTCACAAGTGTAAAGAACTTCCCTGGTAGTAGAGGTGTTGTCATAGGCCTTTTGAGTGGTTACCTTAGTTTGAGTGGAGCTATCATCACTCAGCTATACTATGCCTTCTATGGAACTGACTCTAAATCTTTAATTTTGCTTATGGCTTGGTTACCAACTGCTGTAACTTTTGTTTTTATGCCAGTTATTAAACATCACAAAAGAGCTGTACAACCAAATGATTCCAAAGCTTTCTATAATTTCCTTTACACGTCTTTAATCTTTGCAGGATTCCTCATGATAATGATTATAGTGCAAAAGTGTTTCAACTTTACTAAGAGTGAGTACTATGTCACTACCACTGTCATGCTTCTCTTGCTTATCCTGCCTCTTGTTATTGTTATTATGGAAGAACAAAGGATTTGGAAGAACAAAAAAGAGAACATCAATCCTCCTAAGCCTTTGAATATAATCATGCAGACTCACCAAGCTAGTGGAGAGAGTACTAAAAATCGAACCATACGTAGAGGTGAAGATCATACAATACTTGAAGCCATTTTCAGCCTTGACATGATGACTCTTTTTGTAGCCACAATTTGTGGGTTTGGTGGAACTCTTACTGTGGTAAATAACTTGAGTCAGATTGGATTATCCTTAGGATATCCTGCACATAGTATAACCACATTTGTTTCACTAATGGCTATTTGGATCTATCTAGGTAAAGTTACGCAAGGAGTTATCTCAGAATTTATCATAACAAAGTTAAAACTCCCTAGACCTCTCATGCTCACTGCAATCCTTATATTGTCTTGTTTTGGTCACCTTCTAATTGCATTTAATGTACCAAATGGTCTCTATGTAGCTTCCATTATTATTGGTTTCTGCTTTGGAGCAAACTGGCCAGTACTATATTCAATCATATCTGAGCTATTTGGTCTTAAATATTACTCAACATTGTACAACGTTGGGTCAATAGCGAATCCAATAGGGTCATACTTGTTAAGTGTGAGGGTTGCTGGTTATCTGTATGACAAGGAAGCCACAAAGCAAATGGCAGCATTAGGCCTAAAGAGGAAGAAAGGGGATGAGTTGAATTGCAATGGAAGTGAGTGCTACAGATTGGCTTTCATTATAATCACTGCTGTTAGTCTCTTTGGGGCACTTGTGTCTCTAACTTTAGTTTTAAGGACTAGAGAGTTTTATAAAGGTGACATATACAAGAAGTTTAGAGAGGAAACGAGAAATAATGAAAATGAATTGGTTGTAACTCAGAATAAGGTTCAACCTGCCAAAGTTATGGATAGATAGATAGATATCTTTGGTAAAAAATTGTCAGGTAATACTTCAGAATTGGAAGATTCTAGCATAAGTTCTTGTAACCTTATGTTTTCTTTACAGTAAATCACTTCATGTAAAATAAGGTATCTACTTACATATGTATGGGAGGATATATGAGAAATTAATAAGTTGCAATTAGTTTAAACATTCGCTATTACATTTGGAGAGTAAAATTGTTTTTACAAGGCACAATTCTTTATAATTTTCAATGTATCTTAATTGTTTTATTTTTCAATTGTGTCGTATTATAAACGTTATAAAATAGATCATAGGTTGACGAGGATAATTGTGGTGAGACTTTCGGTGCGGTGGTTACGGTTGTCTGGAGATAGAGGGGGTACCGACAAAAGATTTTGACGCCTAAGTTAATGTATGAATGAGGTCAATGTTAAGAAATGTGGTTGGACCTAACTCAACCCTACAAAACCAGTTGGTAGAGTGAGGATTACCCCCACTTATAAACACATGTTCATGCCATATATTATCCGATGTGGGACTCTTAACAGTCAAACTTTACAAATATGAGTGAAAATGTATCTGTGACTCGGAGTCACTTATACATAAAGGAAACAATACATATATGAGTGAAAATGTATCTATCTGAGTGTGAAACTTTACAAATATGAATGAGGTGACCCTTTTGACTAGCCTAGAACAATTTCCCACGAGTTGTTGGGCCGTTATGAGTCGGGAAAGTCTTAGTAGTCGTGGCTGATCTCTGAGTGCCGTTCGCTTTAAATCTAGAATGAGAGTATTGTCTCAGGTCAGTTGCAAAAGTAGTGAGGAACATGAACATTAAATGCCTTTCCTATTATTGAAACGTTTGACTGACTCTTTCTTACCCATGGCATGAGGTGACTAGTTAAAGCATAACGCTACTTATTGTGCATTAGAGTGCGCTTGAGTTCATTTATTTTTTCAAGGAGAAATCCAACCATTGATTTTGTAACTTTATATATATATATATATATATATATATATATATATATATATATATATATATATATATATATATATATATATATATATATATATATATATATATATATATATATATATATATATATATATATATATATATATATATATATATATATATATATATATATATATATATATATATATATATATATATATATATATATATATATATATATATATATATATATATATATATATATATATATATATATATATATATATATATATATATATATATATATATATATATATATATATATATATATATATATATATATATATATATATATATATATATATATATATATATATATATATATATATGAACGTTGATGAAAATTTTTTACAATTATTTGAGAGTCAATTATTTTTTGCGAGTGCTCTTCACTCTTACTCCCTCCGTCTCATATTATAAGTAAACTTTATTTTTTAGATATATTGAACAATTAATGTATCTGATCTATATATAGACCAGATACATCAATTATTCAATGTATCTAAAAAGTAAAATTTATTTATAATATGGGACGGAGTAGTACTTCCGTATAGTATTTTTTAGAATAGTTGTTGTTTCCTGCTCCAAGCATTTATTTCTTCCCTATTGCGTTTGCTTTTTTATCAGATTCACTTTATCAAGTACCCTCCTTACCGCAAACTTTAAATACGTTCAACATTTCCTTTACTTCAATCATTATGATTGGTGATCCTATTATCTTGGTTAGTGATTATGAGAGTGACACCTCTCTTGTAACGAGAGCGAGATTATCTTCTGGTTAAAACCTTTCCCCCGATTCATCTATGATCTCCTGGGCTCTAAGGGTATATCACAAATTGATGAAAATTTTCCACAATTATTTGAGAGTCAATTTTTTTTTTGTGACTGTTCTTCTCTCTTACTCCCTTCGTCTCATATTATAAGAAAATTTTACTTTTTAGATACATTGGATAATTAATGTATCTAATCTATATATAGACCAAATACATTAATTATTCAATGTATCTAAAAAGTAAATTTTTCTTATAATATGGAACGGAGTAGTACTTTCATAGAGTATTTTTTAGAATAGTTATTGTTTCCTGCTCCAAGCATTTATTTCTTCCCTATTGCATTTGCTTTTTTATCAGATTCGCTTTATCAAGTACCCTCCTTATTGTAAGCTTTAAATACGTTCAACATTTCCTTTACTCCAAGCATTATGATTGGTGATCCTATTATCTTGGTTAGTGATTATGAGAGTGACACCTCTCTTGTAACGAGAACGGGAGTATCTCCTGGTTCAAACCTTTCCCCCGATTCGTCTATGATTTTCTGGGCTCTGAGGGTATATTCCAAACTGATGATTCTAATTTGTAAAGGTTATTATAGGTTCCTAAGAAGAGGGGGCTTCTTTAGGGATTCTTCTTTCGATGCTATCATGTTTGATGAAGACGTTGAATGTAACACCCCAATCTAACCCGACGGATAATTAAGGAAAACAGAATCAGAGTGCAACAAATTTTGTAAACATGACGGTCGTAAGGGGCTGTCACGACCGTGACGGTCATGACGATCGTAAGGAAGTTGTGACGAACATCACATCATCAAATTCTGGGCGTTACAATTTCAACTTACAGAAACATACATTTCACAACTCAATTAGACAACATGCATTTAGTAATGATACATAGCACAGAAGCTTGGATGAACATACAACCATAACTTGATTAACATTTTGATTACAAGGCATCTTATTAATTTGCAGCGGAATATAAAACATTTCCAACATTTAGCATGATTAAAGCAAGTACATGAAACTTGCAACAAAACTCCATTAAAATTCAGCAAGTAATTATCTTGCATCAATTCAACATAAACAACGAGTTGCAACCATAAAAATCAGCACTACTAATTGATCGGCATAGTGCATCCAACCAGTATTTGGCACTTAACAGAAGCCACCAATTTAATGAAAAGTACTTGATAAAATTCAGCAACAAGGAAATTAAATAAAAGTGATAACATCAATCGTTCATCCCCCCAAGAGTGTTACGTATCAGAGCGACCAACAACCTTAAACAAAAGCTACACTTTATTCCGGATTACCTGCAAGTTACCACCAACGGAGGTAACATACAATGTAAAGGGTGAGATATCAACAATATAACATAAGGCGTGATAAAAGTCATGTCAGAATATTATCACAGCATTATAATTCTAGCAGTTCGCAAAATATTATCAATAATTAAACCGCAACAATTCGGTATTCATATCCACAACCATTATCATTATAACTCAGCAACTCATCAAAACAACTCAACAACGCAACTCAACAATGCGACTCAACAATGCGACTCAACTGTGCATATGCATGTGGTATCATTTTGGGAGACAACACTCCACAATTATTCGGGAGACTCACTCCACAATTATCCGGGAGACTCACTCCACAATTATTCAGGAGACTCACTCCACAATTATCTGGGAGACTCACTCCACAATCATTCGGGAGACTCACTCCTCAATTATCCGGGAGACTCACTCCACAATCATTTTATTTTGTCATCAAAGATACAACCGTCGCCAATCCAGGCCAAATGATATGCTATGAGACGCAACTATTATGGACTATAACACAACAACAACAATAACTGTGCAACAACCGTGCAACAAGGCATCAAGCCTACAACCAATTATCCATAACAGAACATCACATTTCGCATATATTATGGACTCACCATTTCAACCTGTTCATATCAGAGAACTACCAACAGTATCGTTCCTATGAATAAGACTCTAACACATTTTCGCAGAGAACAATTAAAAACAACCTCGTCTCTACAATTGAGAACTCAACAACATTTTCATGTCAGAGAACAACTGACAACATCATTACTACAAATAAGAACTCAACACATTTTCATATATAACTTCATACGGGTAATATAACTAGAACTTCTAATTTAATTAAATAGGGACATAATAACAACACCTTCTTAATAAATGGGAAAATAGCGCGTGTCGGCACCGTTTCCCAATTTCCCCCAAAACTAATGGCATAACACACTCATTCATACACAGACAGACATTAACCCTTAGAAATGCACATGTAAACATTAACCCTTAATATTCCTTCAACTTACGGGAACATTACTATGGTAACGTTACGGGAACGTTACTACGGGAACATCACTACGAGAACATTACTATGGGAACGTTACTACAGAACATTACCACGGGAATATTACTACGGGAACATTGCTACGGGAATATTACTATGGGAGCGTTACTACGGGAACATTACCCTATGATTCCATACCCTTCATGAAATCCATCATACCCACAGTTATAGAATTGAACCTCACCCTTACCTTTGGATTGAGGACAACTCTAAACTTCCGGTTCCGGTTTGCTCTCCCGGTGACTCTTCTACAACAACCTTCAATTCTCTCCGGTTAATTCTTCTGTTCTTCCTTTCTCCACAGTCACGTTCCTTTTTCCTTCTCTTCTACCTTTTTCCTCAATTTTTGGTTTTCTGAGCAGTTTTAACGTATTTCCTCTTTCTCCCAAAATCCCTCTTTTATATTTACTCCAATAATAATAATAATAATAGTAATAATAATAATAATAATAATAGTAATAATAATAATAATAATAATAATAATAATAATAATAATAACATTACTACTAATTATTAAATTATCACCAATTATTAATTATATTATATTAATATTAAACTCCAATCGTTATTAATAATTCTTACAGTCTAAGGGCATCCATCAACGCTACTCAGACACACCTCCCACATAAAGGCGCACCAACAATTCATAAATAATTAAATTTAAAATGAACGGGCGTTACAACTCTCCCCTACTTAAAAGAATTTCGTCCTCGAAATTACCTCAATCAAACAGCTTCCAACCAGACCACTTTCACCAAAGCAATCTCTTCACCTCGAAGTTGCTTCTCGTTCATCCACCTGAACTAGCAACGCCTCAACAGTCAAATTACC